TCCCATCACTGCTGATGCTTTGCAGTGCTAAGCTGGAGCACGCCAGATGAGTTTCAATCCTTGCATGCGTACAGGACCAAGCTCTGTAATGCCAGCAGTTTTATTGCTCTGACTGAGAATTGCTATGTGCTGTCAGAATATTCATCAGAGGGCAATGATCTAGGACCTTTGCTAACTAAGGCTTCAGGAAAATCTAGTATATATTTCTGTCCTGCATATTTTAACACTGTTTGATGACATTTTGTCCAGTATTCAGTATCCCACTGAGAATTTAGAACTGATTGCCCACTAGTAGTACAAGCTTGTCAGAGTCCACTCCTCCAAACCACATGGATCTGGTTGTTACGAGAAAAATGCAAACAAGACAAGAGGAACAGAAACCAGATTAGGATAGGAAGTGAACAATCACTCCTGCAGAAAGAAAGAGCAGGAGGGACAGACAAAGCCAAGCAAACATTGTATATAGTTCCTCCTGGGTTTCTCCAGAAAGGCTTTTATATTACAAAAACCTAAAGGGCTTTTCTGTTAACAGTTTCAGAGTGGCTTGTGTTTACAGGTGGATGCAGAACACTGGATCCTGTGTTGGTGGATGCTGTGTGATCTTTTATCCACTTCAAAGCTGTTGTTTGTGCAGACCGGGTAAACAACCATAGGTCACTCAATAAATCTGGGTCATGGAACTTCTGTTAGAAAGAAAGTCAGTCCAGCATTGAAAATGAGGTCTATCTGTGTAGGGCAGTTCTATGAAAATGTCTGAAAGGGATACTTGCTACTGGTTCACCTGGGAACAACCAAGCTGCAGCCCTGATAGAGAGCACTTTACATCTTGACCTGAAGCCTTCCTAGGGCAAAGAGCTGAAAACGTCTTCTAATGCCCTGGATTATCAATTAAGAAATGTCACTGAACCGTGTGAGTTTCTGTGCATTTTTTATGGGTCTGAATGAAAAAAATGAGGATCAAAGATCTGGTGGGAGATACAGGCGCTGCTGTAAGGTCCTTATGAAGAGTAGAACTTCACTGAACATATGAGAGTTTGAGTAATTTTATATTGTCTTTCTCTCTTTCCTCAGAAATGTTACCACTTCATATTCCAGCGCTACCGCCTGGAACACTACACAGTCTCCTCCAACTGGCTGGCTCTGGGGACTCTCTTTCTCTTTGGCCTTTTGTCGTTGTCACGCTCGGTTGCCTTATTCAGAGGTTGGTATTTTAGACTATTCTGTGCTTTCCTGGGTTCTGGTCTTGGCAAGTCTTAAGGCCTGCCAAAGTTGTGCTGCTTTGACTATAGCAGCAGAGTAGAAATAAAATAAATAAATAAAATAAATAAATAAAACTTTGAAAGTTTGAATGTCATTGTTGCAGGAAAAGGAGTAAGTTCTAATGGTCACCATTAATGAGTGGTTATACGTATGTATATAATTGTACATACATACATACATATATGTATGAATATATGTATGTTTGAATGTATCACTAGAATTATATCATTCTTCATTTATTCAAGAAGTTACCAGTTAAAATGTTTGAACAATTTTTTGTAATCTTTCAAAAGTAGTCATGTAAATATCACCTATTTCTTTAATCTTATTTACAATTTTCTGCTGTCCACAGGCTACCATGGGCCCCTGGACCTGTACCCAGAATTTCACAGGATTGCTACTGACCCAAGTATTCACACTGTGCCGGAGGGAAGACCGGTTAATGTCTGCGTGGGAAAGGAGTGGCACAGATTTCCAAGTAGCTTTCTTCTGCCGGATAAGTAAGTTGTTTAATGTAAAAGGTACAATTTGATGAGATTTATAAGGAGGGGCATTTCTTATAAAAAGTATTTATAGGAGTGACCTTCAAAACCTGATATCTCTGTTGACAGCAGCATATCCAAAACAAAGGATTCTGAAGTTTGTTGTTAGCAGATTATGTTGGCCAGAAGCTATTGAAAATTTGTAGTGTGACTGATCCTTTATCAGGGCTGTCTCCCCTCAGGAATGAAATGTCCTTGGTTATGCTTCTGGTTTTCTCCAGATAAAGCGTTACTAGCTCCTGCGTTTTCCTGCTGGGCTTTCTGACACTGTTCTCTGCAGTTGGCAGCTCCAGTTCATCCTGTCAGAATTTAGAGGCCAGTTACCAAAACCGTTTGCCAAGGGACCAATGGCCACACAGATGATTCCCACTGACATGAATGACCAAAATAAGGAAGAGCCATCTCGATATGTAAGGATTATATTCCTATTTTCTTTTCCTTACTTTACTGTATAATTTGTGTTAATATAATGCCTATGATTTGATCTCCCCATTTCGTTTTGCGGGGACCATACAAGTTACAGAACAAAAATGGGCGCTCTGCAGCACTTGGAAATTTCCCCGTTTATGTGAGTGGTTTCTGTTCGTATTTCAGCTTCCTATTTTTCTTGTAAAGACATAGTAATAAAAAAGAAGCAGAAGTACTAGTAATTCCTAGTTATTGCAATTTTGGGTTTAGTATAATATGTTACTGTGATCACAGGAAAGTGAACTGAATGAATAGTTTGAAATCCCCCATAGAAAATATTTGTCACTGAGCAGGGATTGAAATTCTCCTTTGTGCTTTCTTTTCTTTTTAAATATAAATATATTCATCATATTGGCAACTGAGAAGAAGAAACTTGGAACTCCACTGAAACAATTGCATCAGTGATTTCAATGGGAATCTGTTAAGATAATGTATACTGATACTATTAATTTGTTACTTTTCTTGGTTGTATTGTGTCACCTAAACAAAATCAGCACACAGGTTAAATTTTAGCAGCGCACTAAATATTCTTTGCAGTGCACTAGATATTTAGTCATCCTTTCTTTTTTGTCCTAAGGGTTGAATGAAATGAACTGCCAAGAAATGCATAGTGCTTGCTTCATTCTCTCTTAGCACCTTGGAGGATAGCTTTGGTGTCTCCTACAGTATATAGGAAGCTCTCACTTCTCTCCTATAATGGACCAAGTCTCTGTTTTACAGGAGTGGGTCTATCCTGGCTGAAGACAGTAGACGTATGCTTGTTTATGTGGCTCATGATTTTGGCCTGTTAGACATTGTACAAGCACTTGTAATCTGTTCACAGAAGTGTATGGAGGGCAGTGCTGTAACACAGGAGCAAACTGTGGGTAAAGGCAAGGATCGATCTGGGTTAAAGCTCTCTTATTTTGAGCCTCATTATGCAGTTACTGGAAATGGGAAGGAGGCGTGTTCCCACCTGAGAGAAGCTGTCTGCTGCAGTGCATTTAATTTACGAAATCTTTAACTGTTGCATATTTTTAGCACAGACAGCTGGCTGGTGCACAGCCTGTGACTAATGGAGCAAAACACACTTTTGTTTCATGGTTGTTTCTTAATGTCGTCCTACAATTTTTGTATTTCTCATGCAAGCAGAAGGGCCTAGGATGTTAGAAAATAGCTACTAAATGTGAATTTTAAATGGGGTTTTAAAACTTTTACTTCTGACCTGCTAATAAAACCAAAGAGCACAAGATCTTTTCTCAAGTTTAGTAAGCTTACAAGTGCAAGCATACCCAGAGATTAAAAAAAAAAAGTTAGCAAGCACCACAAAGGATCATCATAGCAAATAAATCTAAATAGCATGAGTCTGTTGGTCAGTTAAAGGGGAGAAAACAAACAGTTGAAAAGGATTATCTGAGCCATGGACAGCTTAAAATCAATTAATGGCTACAGAAATGGGTCTCAATCTCTCTGTTTCAAGTGTAAGTATCTATTACTGCTCTGCTTGAAAATTGAAAAGTAAATTTAAGTGTTTCTGTTGCTATGAGACACTGGGGAAAATGGTGATTTAATCTTCTTGTTTTGCAATTCTTCCTTCCTTAATCGTGTTGAACAGCACTTAACTTGTACTTGTCCCATTCAGGAGATGCATTTGTCTCCTAAACTGCTAAGAAAGAGATAAGGAGTATTATCTTTTGCAAAGATGTGTCCAAGCAGGAACAGTAGATTAGGCCTAAAAGCTGAAACTGTTAAAAACTCCTGACTTCAGAGGAAGTATTTTTTAACCACTTTATTTTCACTTCTTTTCCAATTTCCTTTAACTGTTTTGAACCGTAGGAACCACCTGAAGTTTGGTCTAATTTTTGAAATATGCATTTGAGTGATTGAAAAAACATATCTGGTTTTGCTCAGAACAGTTGAACTTTATCTATGGTAAACCAGACAAGCTCCTGTTGTGCTCTGTGTGGCCAGGCGAACATCCATCCAGACACCAGAGATGTGGCTGTGGCAGTACAGCAGCAGGCTGTGCCTTTAGCTCTATTTCTGTACTATAACTTGCCCACTCCTGTTGTTCAGGATGTGATCAAATATAGTTCTCCACAACTTAGCATAGTGGTTGCATCAAATAAAAAAAGAGTGGGAGGAGGAAAAAGAAAGGAGAACAGAAGAGGATAGGATGTAATTTAGAAATTCCTTGCAGGTCCATTCACTAAGACTGACTTCTTTCTACAAAGAAACATTTCAAGGTCTGTACACCACTGAAGTCTTGTGTAAGTCCCCGAATAAATGCATAGGTGCTGTGCTGGCCCTCTGACCAGGATGAGTATTATCCTTAGCTTCAGCGTAACTTGTAAGAATGCACTGTGCTCTACTTGGAACGGTAGAAGGAAAATCAGTCTTTCACCTGGCAGATAAGTCATATGCATTGGAAGTGCCAGCCCTTTTAGGGGAGCATTTAGAAGTGAGATCAGTCTTAGTGCTTGAGGCAGTGACTTGCCTTTCTCTGAATGATTCTACATCACTTACAGAAAATCTTGGTTAGTGGTTTGGGAGTCTTTTTGCTAATGAGCCAGAACCTCTCTCAGGGACTGGAATGTTCTTCTCATACAGTGCAAGAAGTGGATTCAACATTCTCCTCAGCTGAATTCCCGTGGAGTAATTTCATTTGCTACTCAGTTGTGATGCCATGGAGCCATCTGGTATCCACCTAATTAAATTGTTTTCAGCCTAAATTGTTACAATAAACTCCAAAGGTGCTTCAGAAAAGTGAATTCAAGCATGTCTGAGGAAGTTTGCGATAAAATTTTGTGGGAGAGCAAACTGAAATGTGGGATACCTCAAGGAAGAGTTTGAGGGAGTGAGACAGAATAAGACATAGTCATCTTGGAGAATCTCAGCTGCCTGCATTTAAGGTAACTGATGGGTAGAGGCCTTTGTGAACCTGGCTTAATGGACCTTAGTTTTTCATTTGACTAATCAAGTTATAGCTGCCCTGCCTTTTGCTTCACCTTTTCAATGTGGCAAACTTATGCAGTGATTCTTAAGGAAATGTTTCCTTGTTGAAACACCTGGTCATCACACATTACCTTTTTTATCTGACCTGATGAGATGTACACACTGTAGTGCAATCAACAAGACTCAGCTGTGTATGTTGTGTTCTGCCGTTGTTAATTAAAGGGAAAACTGCCACTTGGGAGAGCTGGCCTCCTAAGGAGTGCATATAGATCTCTCATGAAGGTCATGGGCCCTCCGTGTAAAAGTGAAACCAAGTGGACCAGGATTTGTTGCTCCCAGACTTGATCACGTTCCTTCCACCAGGCATATAATTTATTAATGTGAGTCCTCCTCCTGATAGGGTCCTTAGTCTTTCCCTTCCAGCCCTTGTTGCCCTGACTGTTTGCAAAAAAAAAATAAATCTGGAGGGGTCTGATATTCTACAAAAGTCAGAGATGATCTGACCTTACAAGAACTCCCCTGTAGCCTGCATGTTGAAAAGCTTGTGCATGGAAAAGGTGAGATTGCAATCTACATTCTGTTCAGAGCTCCTGAAAGATTAGCAAGAACTAAGAGTTTGTGTCACCAGCTGAGAGACCATTTTTTTTGTGTGTGCACTGTTGACAGGATCTGATTATGATGGACCATGGAGCATGTTTCCAGGCAGTAATTAAGCACAAGGATTTGGTTTTGTGGCTGTCTTCAGAAAAAATTTTTAACCAGTTTACACAAAGACACATGATGGAAGTTCCTAGCCTAGCACAAAAATTTCCTTACAGGACACTTAACCTCCTCATGAATTTCTTTACTGAAATTACAGTGGATTTCTCAGGTCCTTTTTTATACCTGGGAGTGGGAAGGAAGCATGTTAGAAGCATGCACCTATATCCTCCTGTTCAGTCAGTTGGGAGTTCAAACACAGGCTTGGCAGCGGCAGGGTGTTTGGGAGGAGCTGGATGGACCTTTTATTTGCTTGCCAGTTTCCTTGGTGTTTGCTGATGTAATAGGGCTGGGATTAGATGGCACAAAGTAGCCCGGCGCTCTGATAACCCTGTCCTGCTGGATGCAGGGATTGGTGGCAGCTGTAAACTGAGATATCACAAGTTGAAAACTTGGTATTTTTCCTAAGTTCCTATGTGAAGTCTCTTTCCTTTCTCCTTTTTATTCCATCCGGGTAAAACATCTACACAACTAATGAGATTCATGTTATAATTTGCAAGTATTTATTATCAGAAGTTATGCCCTGTCTTCTGTTCCACTTCATTTGAGGACTCTGGTGATGTAATTTTTTTGTATCTAAATACATGTATTCTAGTTCCTTGATGTCTCCCAAATCAAAATATCTAAATTATTGAAGGAAAACACCAGTAATTACTAGGATGTGCTGTACTTCACTGGTGTCTTTTCTCAGAAGTTTCAAAATACTGTGTGACATTTTAATGTACAATGCTTAATAACATATCAGAGGCAAAACTAGGAACTGTTAGTCCCCTTTGGCAGTTGGGAATGCTGGAGTGCCACAAGGATGGCTTGCGGACCAACAGAGCCAGAAAAAGCATTCAAGAATTCAGTGTTCTTAGTTCGCAGAAAGAAACCCTGGAGGTAGAACTTTTAAGATTAATCTGATTGAGAGAGGCACAATATCATAAGATAGTTGCAAGCATCAGTCCTGTTGACTTCTAGTGCCTCTCAGTTCACTACTGCAAGCTTTTTCCAGAAAATTCAGCCAGTGCCAGGTGTGAGAAAGTGTGACCCTTGGCTAACAAAACCTAGTGTCAGCAAAATACCCAAATACAGAGGCAATAATCAATGACAGATTGGTAGAACTTGCTTTGCTCCAGTGGCTGAAAATTATTACGTCAGCAAAAGCTTAGCCTTGCTGCTGTACACTGCATGCGGGACTCTTTTTTCTGGTGTATTGTAATGATACCCTGGTACAATTTACACATGGCCTTAGGCTTAGGATTATTTCACTTTTGAAAATGTGACTTAGATCACTTATAGACAATTAGATCTTCAACAAGAGGACATCAGCCCTTATTTGTAACCTGTCCTCTCTCTCGATGTGTTCCACTCAATGGAGGGGACACAGGATATTCATATAAATGAATAGTACAGCCTGTTTGTATCCAAAAGCACTCTCCCCAGCAGGAGGGAGAAGGTTGCATAACATGAGTCTCCTGAGGACATTACCCACAGCGCATTTAACTGGGAGGTCATACACATAATTCATTTCTTTGATGTTGCTTCCTCGAATACGTTTTCATAATTTGGCAGGGTGTCGCTAAACATCTTGGTCAGGGCAGAGCGGTTACTTGCGTCATACGCAGCTGATAAAGGCATGACTGTGCTGATACCAACCAAGTCCACGTGGTCTCAGAGGTGCAATGTGATGTCCATCTGCTTCAAGTGAGACAGTGAGGGTCATAAGTGCTACAGGACAGGTTATTCATGCACAAACCCTACCCTAATTTGTGCCAGACAACAAGCTTACTTTACTGGAAATACTGTTTTCCATGATTCTGCTTAAGCTCTGCCATGAGATGACAAGACCCTAGGACTCTCCTTCTGTGATCAGAGCAGTAGTTGTACCTTGTATTCTCCCATAAAGGTTTTACTTGAAAACATTCAAAATATTTTACCATGTATCCTGCATGAAGCATTTTACTTATTGCTAGAAATTTAACCCCCTTGTCATTGATAAATAACAGCCTGTATAAATGAACACATACAACCAGCAGCCTACGGGAAATAAACCACAAGAATGTCTGTCTTTCTGCAGATTGACATTTCCAAATGCCACTATCTGGTGGACTTGGATACAGCAGCTGAAACCCCAAGGGAGCCAAGGTATTCGTCCAACAAAGAAGAGTGGGTAACCATTGCCTACAAGCCATTCCTAGATGCTTCCAGGTATGCTTTACACATTAGAGAGGGAGGGAGGAAGGCTGGCAGGTCTGTGAACTAATTCTGTTCAGTTATCCCATTGCAACAGTAGCTGTATACAGGCAGGAAAGATACATTGGCAAATGCCAGCTTGAAATCCAGTTTCCAGTAAAGGCAGCTTGCTGGCTACAGTGGAACCTTTGTCAAATTTGTACTTGCAATATTTATGACCTAGATTGCTTTAGAGGGTGAAGCTGGCTGAGAAGGGTGGTGAGGATTATTTTTAAAAAGAATCCTCCCTGTGCACTTCTTGCTGAAGTAATGTGTTTTGGTTTGCTTTCTAAAGAAATGAGGTGTATGTCATCTCCTCCCAACAGACTCTTGAATCTGCTGTCTTGTTTCAGCCAAATTCAAGACAGGTGTAAGTCGGTCTCAAAGGGCATAAGCACTTAAAAATTTTATGAAAACTGGTATACAGAGAGAGGAGGCAGTCTCATCAAATGAAAAGTCAGCAAGATCACACCTTTATTAGGCATCAGAGAATCCATGGAAAAGACCTTTGTTAGAATCCGTTGTTCATTGGTTCTTCTGCTCACTGAACAACTTGCTTGTGTGTCTGAACAGGAATTTCTGTGAGAAGCAGAGATTGAAATTGCTCTCCTCCAGGCTAACGGGGTGGAATCAAGGTGGTCAAACCGGGATTGTTGTTAATACATTTCTGCAAATACAGAAACCCTCAGCTGCAAGGGGATGGTTATTTATTCATTTCAAGCTCTGGTCATGTAGGTGTCATAACAGGACAGAGAGGCTGACTGGAAAAATCTCTGTAAAAACCTAACACAGAGTTCAGTGCCCTCCTATTTTCTACGTGAGACTTTATTACTTCCTAGTAATAGGACCCTCCAGGGAGGGGCGCTGGTAAAAGCAGTTGAGCAGTGAGAAAGAGTGATAATGTTAGAGCAACTCCCAGGAGTGCTCTAATGTTCCCAGCTTGCTGACACAAACAAGTTTTCTTGGCAAGGTTTTTCATGAACTATGATTTCTGAGACCTGCTGTTACATTCGGACAGGACTTTAGGAAGGGAGAATGAGATGGCCAATGAGTCTTATTAATGAGGCAATAAAAGCATCTGCATAAGAGTTTTGTAAATGACTCCTTGTGCAGACACATACCCCTGAACATGCATTTCTGCTTTGAAGACACATTCATGTGTTCTTAAAGCTGGTTTATCTTGCTATCCTCTGCTGAATAGCCAAGGTTTGATTGTTTGGACCTGATCTAAAGTCTTTTGAAGTCAATCAGCAGCATTGAGCCAGGTCCAAATGAGCCTTCAAGACACCTTGGGTTAACCATGGGGATGTAATTTGCTAGGGGTGCTTTCAGAGGTAGTGGCTGTCTGCCGCAGAGATGCTAGCTCACCTAATGAAAGCAAGGTGAATTATTCTGGTATGGCTGTACATCTCAAAGACTTCTCCAGAACGTCCTGGATTCACCATGGCTTCTTTCCACTTTTGATCATTTTTCCTATACTTAGCTGATGTTTGGTAGAGGAGTTGATCTGTCTTACGGGACTTTTTGAATTGTTGCGCTTTCAGCCCGCACCCATAGCCTCTGAGCTTTTGATTAAAGACGTACTACTGTGCTCTCTTCTGAACCCATTTTGTATCCTCTTAGAGGCTGCGCTCTGCTGAATACAAACCAGCATCTGTCTGGAAGCAACAGTACAGTGTATTTGTTCCTTTTGTGGGGAGAGAGTTGAGCCTGCAACTGTAGGCCTTACCACAGGATGGACACAGGTGTTTTGAATCCTCCACTTTCACCCAGGCTTTTTGGTTCGTTCCTAACTTGGCTGGGGATTTTTCCTGTAAGGTGCGTGTAGATCTGACACCATCTCAGTCCTGACCCTGCTGCAGCCTGCAATGCTGACTGTGATCAGTGCAACCAGTTAAGCTAGAGCCAAACACATAGCTCAGTACTGAGCTGAGTCCTTGTCACTCTCTTTACTGCTTTAATGCTCTTTCCATATGAGTCACTCAATGATATTTTTCTTTCTTCTTTTTTCCCCCCTCTTATTAGGGGAAATTGATAGGATTAAGGAATTTCCCTGTTTACAGCTAAACCCCTGTGTCCTGCCAAGTGTAAATATCTGTCTGGCTTCTCAGGAATTTGGCTGAACAAATAGGTAGATTTGGTGTTGCAGCTCTGTGCTTCTAGGGGAAATGCTGTTGAAGTACTTCCTGCCAGACCGAGGCTGGTAGCTTATTCCCAAGCTTGGCAGTGAAAACCTGTGCAATTATTTTGATTTGATATATGATACTGTGTGTTGCATTTAGATCATCTAAACTCCAGCTAGATTCCCAAGCTGGATGCTTCTTGTTGGCTAAGTATCTATGCAAGCCTGCAGCCAAACTCTGGTAACCCACTTAGTACAGGGATGTCGATTTCTGTGTGTGGTCCTTCATGTCTGGCTTGTGAAGGAAGAGTACATGTGGCTGTTATAACTGGAAGTAATGGCTTGGCTTGTAGCAAAGGTAGCATCTCACCACGGAGCAGCAGCTTGTTGTGGAAGCTGGGAGTCACAGTGATCCACACTCAGAGCATACTACCCTGGTAAAGAGGAGATGTAAAGGCAGAATACTGGGAGTGGGGGAAGGAGAGCATACTCCCTGGCTAAGCAATCACCAAGACCTTAGAACAGATAATCTGAAGGTGGTGGGGAGGGAAGAAGATCTTTCCAGCTGCTGTGTCCTCTTTAACAAAAGATGCTCTTGCATTAGTGAGAGACTGGAATAGAAGAGAGTTTGCAGAGCGTATTCCGAAACGAGATCAGGCAGTCAGATTCTTAGCCCTGCTGGTGTCGCCTGTCAGCCTCCTCTGCTCCTGTTCTTGTGCTGCATGGAAATTCTCCGCGCTATTCCTTATCAATGCCTCACAGCTGGAACAGAGGGGAGGTGTGGTGCCTTCACCAGTGGAGGAGGCCAGGTTGCCACAGCAGCAGGTCCGATTTCCATCCCTGCTGTTTAGTACCTCCAGAGCTCCTGCAGTTTGGAATGCTGGGCTTTGTCCCTTCAGCAGACCTTCAGCAGTCAGCAGGTGCAGCAGCTCGAGTGCACAATGCTAGTGAAGGACTAGAAGGGCATGTTCTTACCTGGAGGGTATCACTGATGCTGAGGGATGAGAGAACCAGCAATATCTCCCCATCTTATCACTCTGCTTGTCTGACAGATTCTTTGTTTGCCCTGAAGAAGAACAGTAAGCCAGGAACCATGGCCTGCATAGCAGGACAAATGAGTAGCAGTGGGCACAGCTTCCCAAGGCAACTCATGGTACAGGAAAGAGCAGAAAGAACAAACCATGCAAGGTCTGATCTGCTCTTGTTTTAGCCAATGTGTCATTTAAAGGTATCACGTTTAAAACTGGATGCTACAGACAAGGTCAAGGCCCTTTTGCCAGCCCATCCACAACAGCATGAGCAAGAGAAATTTCAGAAGGGCTCTTTTTGGATTGCCTGCTTCATAATTTTTTGTCATATATTTTTTATTTCTTTCTGTAATTTGGCCCTTGGAGAAGAGGTAGAGTGGATGAATGATTAAGGGGCTCTGCTGGAACTTGGTGTTCCCATGACTCTGTCCAGGTCTCTTAAACGCTCTCTTGTGTTGCATTTTCCCATTTGGACTAAAAGTTTGTTAGCTCGCCGCTTATCTCCAGGAGTTTGTTGGCAATGAATAAAAAAGTGAGGAGCTTCAACTTCATACTAGTGGTGTCACGTAAATACCTTTGCCGTGTTTTGCATCAGAGTATTGGGATTTTGCTGTAACATCCACATAAAGATTTCCCACGGCAAATGGTCACAATCAATCTGTTGAGCTCCTTGCTTTGAATGCATCATAGCATTTCTAAAATAAGACAGCGTTGTCTACTTTGGTTGTTTTCCCTGAGTGTGGCTGAATTGTAACTTGCATAAAATAATGGGGCTCAAGCAATTCTCAAAAGGAGAAATGACACAAGTTTTGCAGTAGATTGGCAGCTGACAGATGAGTTAGCTAGTGGCAGTTGCAGATCTGCCTAGCAGTTGAATGAGATGTGAGGGTCTGTCTCGCCCTGCAGACCCAGGCATTAGCTATTGTCCTTTTTTGAGACTGGAAAACTTCAGTTGCAAAGCAAATACTGATGGTGCATCTTTCTGTCTGTGGCTGCAGCAGTCTCCCTTGCTGCTAGTCAGCCCTTGCTTCACTTGCTTCTGTTCTTATCCCAGCCTGTAGAGTACCAAGCCTGCTAGAGTGGACACTGCAGAGCCTCAGGGGGAGGACACGGAGAGTTGCCACTCCATACAGCTGGAAGGTTCTCTGAAGGATGCCCTGAGACTGTTCCAGGGATGCAACAAGTACTTCTGTACTCCAGAAAGTTGTTGACAGGCCAGATGGTGGAGAAAGTATGGAAATCCCAGCAAAACACTTCTGTGTTTTTGTGTTATTTTAATTTGAGACAACAAATGTAGGCAGTGCTGTCTCTCTTAGAGTTGAGAAATTGATCATTTTGGGGGGTTTAGCTGCAGGAGAGCAGCAGTAACACAGCTGTAACAGCATGTTAGGTGCTAGAAATCGGTAAGCTGAAAGGATCCCAGAACTAGTAGATCTGTGGGGAGAGTTCTTCCCAGGGTTAGACACACAGGTCTGTGGGCAGAGTCAGTGAAAATGCATCAAGAATTCCTATAATGATCCAGGCTGCTCATGTTTCTGAGCAATTACCTTCCCCCTCCTCCCCAGCTCAGCAGAATGACACATCTCTCAAATCCAGCACCTGCTTCTACACAATGATTTGGAAATGTCCCCTGCTACCTATGAAGTACGTGTAAAAGCACTACAAAAATGCAGCTTTTTTTTTTATATAAAAGAGAAGGAGCAGAAGAAGTGGCACTTTGAACTGATCTGTGACGGAAGCTGCCAGTGTAGATTTCAGGTCTGCAGATCAGTGGCTGCAAAGCAAGGAGCGTTTGGGGAAAAAAACACTATCAAAACATCTCTCCA